ATATATATACAGTATATGCATGTATATACACTGCCGTTCAAAAGTTTGGGATCAGTAAGATTTATAATGTTTTTCAAATAAATCTCTTCTGCTCATCAAGGTTGCATTTATTTGATCATAAATAGAGAAAAACATTAATATTGTGAAATATTATGACAATTTAAAATAATGGTTTTCTATTTTAATACACTTTAAAATATTATTTATTCCTGTGATCAAAGCTGAATTTTCAGCATCATTACTCCAGCCTACAGTGTCACATGATCCTTCAGAAATCATTCTAATATGCTGATTTATTATCAATATTAGAAACAGTTTTGCTGCTTAATGTATTTTTGGAACCTGTGATACTTTTCTCAGGATTCTTTGATGAATAAAAAGTTAAAAAGAATAGCATTTATTCAAAATAGAAATATTCTGTAACAATATACACTACTGTTCAAAAGTTCAAAAATAATTATTTATAAAAGTAGGTCACAATCTGTTAAATCAACTTTCGAAACTGAGGGACATTGAGTTTTTCCTATTAGGTGACATTTGGTGACCTTATCCTTCAAAATACCACATTTAAGCATATATTTAATTGCTATCTGGCCTAAAAATAGACAAATATGCCTCAAGCTACCTGCACATTTTTTTTTCTAATTAACATTGTTATTAGCATATGATTGGCATTATTTTAAAAGTTCCTTATATAGACACATTTTTTTGTGAGGGCATTACTGTTCCTAAACCTTTGTTCATCAACATTTGAGATCCTCTGATGACAGATCTGTCATTGCTACATGTTTACTTCTATGCCAAATATTGAAATTTGATTGCAATTTTCCCCATTCATCAGGTGATTGCTGTGTTAGTTAGTGCCACTTCACCTGGAGTTTTACTCGGCATGAGTTTTGACTGACTCCAATCTTTTAAATCACTTTAAAAAGGACTTCACGAAATTCAAATTGACAGTATTTTCAAAGTCTGGCACGTTAATAAACACATTCTGCCATCTGTTTGACTTTTTGTTTAAAAACATACGGAAGCACGTCTTTGTAGCAACTTGTATATTATAACCTGATTCTAGTGCAAGTTATCCAATGCACTTGCAATCTTATTGCATTTTGGTAAGATTTCAGAGCTATCTTTGCCTTCATTAGTAAATACATTTGTAATATTTTTTTGGTTTTTACTCAAATGCCTCTCATTAGACCATATAAGAAAAACAGAATTTAATTGATCCCTAAGAGGAAATCAATTATTTCACCCTTTAAGACCAAAAAGAACCATGTTATTGTTAACGGAAGCTAAAACTATTAAAACTGTTCCTGTTAATTAGCATTCTCCAATAATTTATCTTTTTCCCACTCCCCCCGTCTGACTGGAAGAGGTGGAGGTACTGGTCTGCTTATCTCTAATGATTGGAAATGTAATCCTTTACCATCTCCGAGTATCAACAACTCCTTTGAATCACATTCAGCCACTATTACCCACCCTCTTAAAATCCATTTTATAGTTGTTTATTGGCCCCCAGGACGACTAGGTAACTTCGTGGAAGAATTAGATGTGCTGCTCTCAAACTTTCCTGAGGATGGTACTCCCCTAGTTATGCTTGGAGACTTCAACATCCACCTAGATAAACCTCAGGCTGCAGACTTCCACACTCTGCTTGCCTCTTTTGATCTCAAGCGAGTGTTAACTACGGCTACTCACAAATCAGGCAACCAACTGGACCTTATTTACACACAACACTGCTCCACTGATCATGTGCTCGTTACTCCACTGCACACCTCGGATCACTTCCTCCTCACTCTTAACCTCAACATAGTTCCTGACACAACACATACCCCTCCACATGTCACTTTTCGACGTAACCTACGCTCACTCTCACCCTCCCAGCTATCTGCTATGGTTTCATCTTTGCTTCCTTCCCCTGAACAGATATCATCTCTTGTTGTTAACAGCGCTACTGATACTTTCTGCTCCACTCTTACGTCTTGTTTAGACACTGTCTGCCCCTTGTCTTCCAGGCCAGCTCGTACCACCTCTTCTGCCCCTTGGCTATCTGATGTTCTCCGTGAGTATCGTTCTAAGCTCAGAGCTGCAGAAAGAGTATGGCGCAAATCACAAAATACTACTGACCTTAATGTATATTCTCAATCATTCATCGCTGAATCGCTTGCAGTTAGTCCAGAACGCAGCCGCGAGGTTGCTGACTGGTACTAAGAGGAGAGAAAGCATTTCTCCTGTCCTAGCATCTCTTCATTGGTTACCGGTGCAGCATAGGATCCATTTTAAGATTTTATTATTTGTGTATAAACCATTAAACGATCTAGCCCCATCATACTTGTCCGAACGTCTCAGCTATCAGCAATCCTCTCGCCCTCTCAGATACCTCTGATAAATTTTTCTTGCATATACCTCGCTCTCGCTTGAAATTTAAGGGGGATCAGGCTTTTTCTGTAGCCAGTCCTCGACTATGGAACAGCATACCTCTGGACATTAGATCTGCGCCTTCCCTTCCTGTTTTTAAATCCCGCCTGAAGACTTATCTGTATTCCTTGGCTTTTGGATGAAATGTATGTTTGTGTATGTTAATGTGTTTTGTATTGATTATGTGTTTTTGAGTAATCCGAGCAGCTGAGTCCTTAGCCATCTTCAAGAAATGAAGAAAGAAAACACTGGGAGATGTGGATAACATCAGAAGAAAACACATCTGTTCCACCTTTATTTGACCCTCTAACTCTAGCACTTTCTATTCTGGCTAAATGACTAAATGTAAATGTTAATTGGAATAAGGCTGAGATAAAATAAAATGTCAATATTAGATAGAAAAAGAAAAAAAAGATTTCACAAGTTGATTTCACACATTCATCTTTAGGATGCAGCCTATTCTACAAATCAATGGCTGTGTCATTCTTCATGGCAAATAGGTCCAATCTGTGTGTTTCTGAATGCTTTCTAAGGATGAGGGATGTTTTCTGCATGGTGAATGTTGCTAAGTGTTCTCCTTTCAGAAATGGTCTCCAGTGTGTCAAGGGACATTCCCATTGCAAACATAAATTTTCTTTTGATTGAGTGTCCAAACTCCAAACGTATTAGATGTTAATCATGTTTGTAATGTTCTAGGATTTTGCTTATTTTCTCTATTATAAGACAGGTCTTTAACTTATTTGTTTGGTATACTGGTAACCCTAAAGACATTGCATTATTACCACAAAGGAATTGGTGTTTGGCTCTGTATTACATTCGTAGAGATTCTGCTTTTGTCACTTTAAGTTAGTAGTGTTAGATCTGCCCCTGCTCTGTGTATTTAATAACTCTTTCTATTGGCCTTTCAGAGCTGTCCTCCTCTAAGCTCCAGCACAGCCCTCTGTTGCATACAGACTCTTTTATAAGGCATTATTGTATGAGGGCAAATCCATGAATAAAATATGGTATAAAACTGTATACTCCTTCTATGAATAATGTAACAGCAAATTCAATATCTTTGCGTTCTTTCTCTGGTTAGAGCAACACTTCAAAATCTGACTGTATGTTCTACTGCTGTCAAGTTTAGCATATACGAGGAGTCACGAGACACATAATTGTGCCCGTTTTCATCCTATTTTGGCAGAGGTTCAGTGCTGAGGTTCCTACAGGATTTACTGTAAGATATACTAAGCTTTATTTAACCAGGTGACTAAATCCCATGTGATGAACAATGTGGGACTCACTATATAAGAAGAGCTTTTAACTAGCCAATGGTCTTTAGCTACTGTACATTACAGCTTTGTTTCTTGCTAGTCAGTAGCTGGAGTGCAACAGTGCCCGCCCACTTTTTCACTTTAAAATGTAATTTACATGCAGTGTTCTTTTGGAATTATTTGCTTTTTCGATTCCTTTGCACAATAATAAGTAATGTAGTTTTTCCAAAAAAAATAAAAAATAAAAATACATTTTTATTTCATTTCATTTCATTTCATTTAATGTCTTGTTTATTCTATCTGTCTTTAATGGCTTACAAGTTAATGTTAAAAATCACTTCCATGGAGAATATTAATGGATTTTTTACTTCCAGAACCTGACTATTGTGCTCTACTAGGGGAAAGGATTTCTCAAAAATAAATAAATAAAATAAAATAAAATAAATATGGGGTGCAACATGAGTAAAAGTCAATTTAAATAAAAATAAAAAATAAGTGCAGTCAATATACTGTACAGTCAAAAATCACAAAACTCTTTTTAAAGAAATAAATATATAAATTGTGATGTTTTTGAGTAACTAATTTCTTAAAACACTTTTCACTCTCACACTAGTTTGTTTAGTGCATTTAGTACATCTCAGGAGAATTGTATTATTTGTTTTTCAAATTTGTACCATATTGAATGCTAGGCTAATTTTATGGCTAGCATTTTTATGTGCCCTAAATACAAACAGTGAAATAATACTTTTTAGTTTAACACATATCAAGTCTCTCCATCTCAAACATGCTCTTCAATAGCACTGTTGTCTCCTTGGTAAGAAAGAAAATGTTTTAGTTATAATGTGTAATGTATTTAGTGATAAAACTCAATCCCTAGAACATAAAAATGAAACATTTGCTTGCTATTTGTGACAACGCAGTCCCTTCAAATATTCATTAACATAATACCATCACGTGACAAAACAGCACGTAACCAGGATGTTCTGATAATATACTCTGAAGGATATGTAGGATATATGAGTATTGTAATATGATTCAAAGCAGGGTCGATATATATATACTGTATATACAGTATCTCACAGAAGTGAGTACACCCCTCACATTTTTGTAAATATTTTATTATATCTTTTCATGTGACAACACTGAAGAAATGACACTTTGCTACAATGTAAAGTAAGGCAAGGCAAGGCAAGTTTATTTGTATAGCACATTTCATACACAATGGTAATTCAAAGTGCTTTACATAAAATAAAATTGGGCCGCAGGGCAGTATTCCAACATGATAACAACCCCAAACTGCTGAGGGTAATGGTGATGGATTGGCCAAGCATGTCTCCAGACCTAAAGCCTATTGAGCATCTGTGGGGCATCCTCAAACGGAAAGTGGAGGAGTGCAAGGTCTCTAACATCCACCAGCTCTGTGATGTCATCATGGAGGAGTGGAAGAGGACTCCAGTGGCAACCTGTGAAGCTCTGGTGAACTCCATGCCCAAGAGGGTTAAGGCAGTGCTGGAAAATAATGGTGGCCACACAAAATATTGACACTTTGGGCCCAATTTGGACATTTTCACTTAGGGGTGTACTCACTTTTGTGGCCAGCAGTTTAGACATTAATGGCTGTGTGTTGAGCTATTTTGAGGGGACAGCAAATTTACACTGGAACACAAGCTGTACACTCAGTCCTTTACATTGTA